TACCACATCATAAGCGTATAGCATCGCACATTGAAGCGATATGGAATTCGACAAATTATGGCACTAAAAGCTTAAAATCACCAGTAAAAGTACGGATAACTTTTCAGTAGCAAAAAAACATTGAATTGATGTGTCTCATTTAAAATCACAAATTCCTCCCACTTACATTGGCAACAACTACTAAAATACCTGCACAAAGCTTTGCTTCTACGATCGAAACCGCATCCTTCCCACCTTTTCTTTAGACAAAGCGAGATTTAATGCCCTTCTCTTTGATTCTCTGCATGTTTTGGATTCTGCACACCCTAATATTTTCCGCTATCGTTGCTCGTCCCAACACCATTTACAACCCGTTTGACGTCGTAGTTGATCTCTTCCATATTCTACAAAGCTCCTTCTTCCAAATGTTTGGCGAGTTTCAAGCCGAGGAGTTTATTGACTATTACGGTAAGACTTATTTTGTTGATTCACTACATAATTTTACTCGCAGTAAATTAAAGCTCTCTTTACCGTTTCACATCCTCTTGTCATAAGTAACATATAAAAGCTACCAATCCAAGAATAGGGTAGAATTCAAAAGGGCCTTAGAAATTGCTCGTCATTTTCCTCCCGTCATAAGTATTCTCAACTTATTTATTTGCTGTAGGATTTCGAGAATGCAAGAACATTACAACACCCGGCTGCACCTATCCTGGGTACAAAGTTTTCATTCCACTTTTGATGGCAATTTTTACGATGGTCACCCACGTCCTGCTCATCAATCTACTAATTGCCATTTTTACGTAAGTTATTACGAGAACAGCACGGACGCCATTCACAGTCTCGACGACAATGAACGCAGTGCAGTTTGTTCTCAAAGGCTTTTTGCATTTCACTTACAGCTCGAGCAAATCTCTTCCTATTATCGTGCTTAATGACGACAGGCATGCAAAACAGGATATTTATTAGTCTTAATTTGCCCCCTACCGAATGAACACATTGGAAGTCGCTTGCGCACTTTCACTTACCCTCTTAGAAGTCATTTCATTTAATGGTCAAGCAAGTGTGGAATGAGTTATGTTGGACAATGAAAATATACTTATTTGAGTAGCATCTTGCCTGCCTGCAGTCCATACGGCATTCATAAATTTCGCAATAATACGTTTAGGCGTATCCAGGAAGGCAATTTTTTGGGTTTTTCCTTCATATTCTTCCAATTTTCAGGCTCAGATAAACATTCAGGATTGAATAAAAAGGTTAGAAGAAAAGTGATTAGAGTAGATTGCCAGTTTTATAATTAGGCCTATAATGATGGTGGATGGATTCACGTTGCTCTATTGTAGCACAATTTAATGGGGCATCAATTCTTTATGCCTTAGTAAGACTTACGATAGGATGGAGGCGATTTCTCAACAGCTGTGGACCATGCAGCGCTACAGATTAATAGAGTACATTCTCGCTGAGTCTGTCCAGCCGGGACCCTTCCTCATTTTCTCCTTGATCTACCAGCTCGCTGCTGCTATCTGTCGCCCCAAAAGTTTGAAGAAATCAAACACACAAAAACCATTTTGTAAGATCATCAGTGTTACCCGTTCTCGTTAACTTTGACTGAAAACATGCACAAATTTGCTTTAATGTAGGGTAAGTTTATTAAATGTAAACAAAATCAAAACATATTATCGGGATGGTTTCTACTTAACGCCGCTAGATAACTGGAAATGAATATTTTCCTTACCAGGCAAGTCGTTTGAGGACAATCCGGGTCGCGAACGACAACTGATAAATTGGGAAAAGCTAAGTGCCCTCGTAATGATGGGCATGCGTGACGAGGACCATGAGCTGAAGAAGGCTTCAAAGAGTGATATCGCTTTAGAGAGGATGCGAAAGACCATGGGAGGCTGGAGGGCACCAAATGACAGGTCGTGGCAGATTGTGCGTAGGATCGTATCCCCCGCCTTGGCTCTACAAAACATTGCAAAATCGGGACCTGTGATCGATGATTTGGAGGGGAGGTTCGATGACATCAATGCAAAGTTGGATAAAATAAGTAATATTGTACGTCCACTACGGAAACAAAAACTAGTCGGTAATTGAAAGTTAAAGTACCCGCATTCCACTTCCGCCGTAGATTTCAGGTAGACTCATCGAGTCCAAAGCTCTTTCGCCGTCCACTCTTAAGCGTAAGCATGCACACATTGCTAGATTTTTAAAATGTAAAAGTTAACAAACTTTGCTGGTGAATAACTACTGCACCAGACAAATAGAACCAATTTTATTCGTGTTCATGCACCTAAAATTTGCACCTCAGTTTCATTAACTAAAGAATTCGAGGTTATGTAGGTAAAGGACTGTTTTAATTTTCATTTAAGCTTACCTAATGCCGTCTAGAGAAGGAAGCCGTAGGTCCTCGCTCAGTTCGGTTGACACTGCGGATGTGCCAATCATGGGGCAGTGGCGCAACCACCAAATAGCTATCTTTTCATCTCTGACAAGCGATACCACGCCTCACGCCTTGGATCCCCCCATCCCTTGGGAGGTCAGTGGCATCTCAATTAATCAAATGCGGTTAAATTGGCATTAGTTAAGAC